AAACGTTTGTTCGCCACCACAGAAAACCTAACTAAATACACTATATTTATTGAATGTTTATGATTGATGATAAAAACACGCAAATATTTATTGTTTTTATCATCAATCATAAACAGTCAATAAATATAGTGTATTTAGTTAGGTTTTCTGTGGTGGCGAACAAACGTTTCGTGAAAATATTCACACCCCCCCCCCTGTCATGTAGCCCACGAGGAGTTTTCACGAACTTGCGCGTGACTTTAAAATTACTTCTTTTGAATTCTGACAAGACAACTGTATTGGGAGGTTTTCTCCTTTCAAATGCAACTAATGTTTTCAATCTTTTGATTGGGACTATTCTACAATGAATTACTTCTGGATACTGTAATCTTAATACATAGGAAGACGAAGAAGTGTTTTATCCCCGAGCCGGATGCGCGAAGCCCCATGCGAGGGTACTAATTCCGCACGGCTAATTATACCTGGGTATGCGAAAACATAGCGGAGTGCAAAGTTGTCCTCCATTTTGTTTATGTCATGGACGGTTTTCGACGTTATGTGCATGCGCGAGTACAAACTCTATGAATTAGTGGCTGTTCAACCGTGAAACAAAGTTTGTATTATAAGGGGTAGCAAATCTTCGAGTTAAGCACCTTGAGTTAAGCCCTTCCAGTTAAGCCACGCCCTTTCGAGTTAAGCCCCGTTCACGCCCATACCACATTGCCACACCCATTTCCGTTGGAGTTAGGTACTTCGAGTTAAGCCCTCTAGAAAATAGGGGCTTTACTCGAGCAAAGTCAACCATTTTGTTCTTCGAGTTAAGCCCCAACGTTTGAAAGATGTAAACAAGTTACGATTAATCTGATCCAAACAAATTAAATTATCATTTGGATCGCGTTTCGTTCAATCACGGTTCAATACGTTTCATTTCAGCCGACGTATTATATATATTAGGGACTTTAAGATTGACGTTTACGGCAAACCTCTAAAGGCAAACGGCAAACTTCAAATCGTAATTTGAAGTCAACTGTTAGCTGTTCGAAGTTGGAGCAACTTGTGCATTTTGCGCATTCTTGTGCAATATGAATTAGCTACTTTTAGCTAATAAAGGAATAAAGATTGACCTTTTCTGCCGTAAACGTCAATCTTAAAATATTTTATACCGGTGTCCCAAAAAACACCGGACTCTGTCTGATTTCATGTAACGCAAAAGCTATAAAATCTATCGCAATGAAATAAAGATCATTGCATTCATAATAAACTAACTTAGATTTTGATCAGCAATTAATCACGAATGTGTCATTGTAAAAATGAGCTCAGGGCTGGTTTACAAGACGTTTATGATAATTATGTATACGCAGGTATTTTAATTTTATTGAAGTTCAATTCATCAACTTAAGTCCTAAACAGTAAAAGGAGTTAATTTTCAATAGTTTTAGACCCAATTCTCGACGGTGGAAATGTGCACTTTCGGTGGAAATATGCACTTTCACATTATATGGTTCTTACAACTATTCAAGTTTTCATAAAATGGAACGATTTCATTAGACTGCACACATTTCAAAACGGAAAGCGGTCGCAAAATGTCGATCGCAAAATGTCGATCGCCCCACTGCCCCCACAAGTTGCGAAATGCAAATCTACCTTAATATACCGGGTGTCCAAAAAAAAAACTGGATACTGTTTGATTTCATATAACGTAAAAGCTATAAAAGCGATAATGCATTCAGAAATGACTAACTTCGATTTTGATATATAGCACTTGAATTTACAGGCAATATTGACTGCGCTATTGATGTTTGAACGTTGAACTACTGTTTTTGAAAATGCCAAAAATTAGCATAAAACAACACTTATAATTACTGATGTAGTTATAATTGTTAAATAATAAATATTTTTATTTTGGTTGTATCCGCACAATATTGCATATAAATTTAAGTGTTTTATATATCAAAATCTCGGTTAGTCCATTATGAATGCAATGATCTTTATTTCATTGCGATAGATTTTATAGCTTTTACGTTACATGAAATCAAACAGTGTCCGATGTTTTTTGGGACACCGGTGTAAAATTTGATAATATTTTAAGTTTGACGTTTACGGCAGAAAAGGCCAATCTTTATTCCTTTATTAACTAAAAGTAGCTAATTCATAGTCCAATTTTTATGCACAAGTTGCTCTAACTTCGAACAGCTAACAGTTGACTTCAAAATACGATTTGAAGTTTGCGGTTAGAGGTTTGCCGTAAACGTCAATCTTAAAGTCCCTAATATATATAATACGTCGGCTGAAATAAAACGTATTGAACCGTGATTGAACGAAACGCGATCCAAATGATAATTTAATTTGTTTGGGATCAGTTGGGGCTTAACTCGAAGAACAAAATGTTTGACTTTGCTCGAGTTAAGCCCCTATTTTCTAGAGGGCTTAACTCGAAGTACCTAACTCCAGTTATGTACTTCGAGTTAAGCCCTCAACGGAAATGGGTGTGGCATGGGCATGGTATGGGCGTGGTCGGGGCTTAACTCGAAATGGCGTGGTCAGGGACTCGAGGGGCTTAACTCGAAGATTTGCTACCCCTAATAATTGTTTTGATGTTGATGTCTTTGTTAATTTAATCGTTGTTGTGCCAGTTTGGGTAAGTGTAAACATTTCTGTAGTAAAATTCCATGCCGCACTTGCTTTGTGTTGTCGGTTTTATTCATATCTGCGAAATTTTTAAGCCATTCTTAACTCGAAAATTCACTTTAATGCAAGCTGGACAGCTGGTATGCACGACATTGCAGTGAATGTTATCGTTCATTATAAAGCTAGCGTATCAGTTGTGTTTTTATGTTTGTTTATAATGGTCTTAATACTTTATGTGGAGTTTTTATACTTCATCTGTTAAGAAAGGCGAGGCCGAGGGGTTGCTGCATGCATGTATTTTCTAGTTAATAACAATATACACTTGACGTTTTCAGCACTGGATGGGTGGGTCAAAATGACGTTTTGCGTGGCAATGTGAGTATGGATGTCGCCCCTTAGTTATTTTGTGCATAATTAGCAATTTACCTGGGGTGGTGCATGGTGATTTTCTTGTAAAATATTATACTTAGACAAGAATATATTATACTTAGACAGAAAGGCTATTGCTTTTCCTTTTCCTTTTCGGATGTTAGAGCTATGTCGGCACTGCCGTTTCAGGGCGGGGTCATTTTCAGGACTTTCTTCCCTTATTCAGGTTTTGGCACATATGCCATGTTGACCGCCATGGTCATTTTACCCTAAAACAGTTGAGATTACCTGTCCTAAATGAAACGCATGCAAACTCATATACAGGTCCTAGACTAAAAAATATTTATGCATGCTCGGTGTTTGCAAAGCTTTTTTTGGGTTTTTTTAGTAACAGCTTTCCTGCTCTAAAAACGCTACCAGAAAACGTTAAAATGCATAGGCTTATAGGCCACATGAAATAAATTCCTTGATTAATTGTATTTTAAGAGCCTTGCGAAATTTTTTTATATATTTTTTTTCAATATAAATGTACCGTCCAACAAAATATTTCCAGACAGTTAAGTTTTTTATATTTTGTATTAGGTTTTTAGTGTCATTTTAAACTGCCAATTTCAAACAAACAGAAACTTGAAAGAACTTTCATTGCATTTTAAAATTTAAAGGAACTTCAAATCATTTCAAGGGTTCAGTCATTGTTCATGGAGATACGTTGCATGGAGATGACAGATTTGTTTATTTTGGAAATTTATGACACTTCACTTCGGAAATTACAGAAATATTAAATGTTAGGAATTATTTTTTATTTATTGATATATATATAAATTATATAAATATAAAATAATTATAAACCTCCAGCCTCTTCGACATTTTCAAAGTGTGGTGATGAGAATCAAGGAATTTATTTTATGTGCCGGCCTTATTGCAAATTTTGCGTGAATCTAGCAAACTTTTTCCAACTGTGTACTTTTTTCTGATATACCCTGGATGGTTTCCTTGATCGAATCCGATCATTTCTCCTCCATTCGCTGTTAAAGTAAAATGGAATATTTAACCATTTCCCATTGTTTAACTGCCCCACACTCAAGTAACCACAAAGACACAACATCCATGATCCGTGACTCAAAAACGAAGTTCGGCGGAAAAACCGGTCAATGGCTGCAAGCAACGTAGCGTGTAAATGTTGTGAAAAAACTTTTTATACATGTACTCAGCGAATTAAAACAAGAGTAGAGCACACTGCCTTAATTACCATATAGTAAATAATGTTATGCATGTTTACCGGGCAGTTTTATGGCAGTCCCGGGCAGTCTTGGGCAGTAATTAGTAGGACCCCTTATTCGTAGCGGTACTGTTCGCTAAATGGTTTCGAAAGTGTATTGCAATATCTGCCGGCATGGTTTTTAAACATGTTTTAATTAATCAATCACCTGACAATTGAATTCAATCATTGACCCGTGTATGAACCCAACATCACATTGGCAACCTCTGAGGGAAATTTAGTTTTGTTTGCCATTCATTCTGTTGAAAGTTCATTCCAATCTCGTTCCCCGAGCATGCCCGTTTGCAGGTTAAGGGCGAGCATTTGTGGTGCACCCTTAACCTGCGAACGAGCATGCTCAGGGAACGAGATTGAGTAAATTCTTGAAGTAAACAATACAGTAAATTTTCACACATTTTTATATATAAAAAGTATGTTTAAAATTATATCAGCTAAAATCGTATATAGAGTTCTTAAAAGAAGTCAAATTGTTCAATTGTCTTTGGTCTAAATTAATATAGAGTTCTTAAGAACTCTATATAAGAACTCTATATTAATTTAGACCAAAGACAATTGAACAATTTGACTTCTTTTAAGAACTCTATATACGATTTTAGCTGATATAATTTTAAACATACTTTTTATATATGCTATTATAATGTAGTTTTATTTGTATTTTAATTGATATCGTAGGACCTGCCTGAAAATCACCTTGTTGTGAGTGTAGCTTCCTACTGAAATGTAATAATAATAATTTTTGCTTACGTTTGGGCAGATGCAGTTCTTCGTGGTTCTTCGAGTCCCGTTTGCATGCACCTTGCCCATTTAAGGTCATTATTTGTTATTAGTTTAGGCTTATAAGTGTAAGTTTATTAACCCAAATAAAGATG